TCTGTTGCTACTCTAAGCCTACTGGATTCTTCGACTACACGTTTCTAATCGCTATATCGCGCATTACTCATGGGATAGCCGCACATGAGTAATCTACTCTACACACATGACTCATCAGATAGTCACTCATGAGTAATCCACGCTAGTGGTATTACTCATGGGATAGGCGCACACCTAACTAATCAGACCGTACATTCTTGTGGTTGCCGTTTGCATGCCGAGTCGCTTCTTTTACAACATATCGTCCTGCGGACTGATGCGTCAATGTCCCATCTGGCTTGGTCTAGCACACTTGACTATCCTCTAGGCCATACACTATCATTTGAGATTCAAGAAGCCCCTTACTTACACTGTAAAAGAGATGGTCCATCTCGTCGGCCCAGATTTTTTTCAAAAAAGAGCGCTACAATCATCGATCGTATCACTGTTGTTGTTAAAGCACTTGGGTTGTAGAAAACAAAATGCAAAGTGAATATATTTAGGTCCTTAGTTCACAAACTCTGTTGCTACTCTAAGCCTACTGGATTCTTCGACTACACGTTTCTAATCGCTATATCGCGCATTACTCATGGGATAGCCGCACATGAGTAATCTACTCTACACACATGACTCATCAGATAGTCGCTCATGAGTAATCCACGCTAGTGGTATTACTCATGGGATAGGCGCACACCTAACTAATCAGACCGTACATTCTTGTGGTTGCCGTTTGCATGCCGAGTCGCTTCTTTTACAACATATCGTCCTGCGGACTGATGCGTCAATGTCCCATCTGGCTTGGTCTAGCACACTTGACTATCCTCTAGGCCATACACTATCATTTGAGATTCAAGAAGCCCCTTACTTACACTGTAAAAGAGATGGTCCATCTCGTCGGCCCAGATTTTTTTCAAAAAAGAGCGCTACAATCATCGATCGTATCACTGTTGTTGTTAAAGCACTTGGGTTGTAGAAAACAAAATGCAAAGTGAATATATTTAGGTCCTTAGTTCACAAACTCTGTTGCTACTCTAAGCCTACTGGATTCTTCGACTACACGTTTCTAATCGCTATATCGCGCATTACTCATGGGATAGCCGCACATGAGTAATCTACTCTACACACATGACTCATCAGATAGTCACTCATGAGTAATCCACGCTAGTGGTATTACTCATGGGATAGGCGCACACCTAACTAATCAGACCGTACATTCTTGTGGTTGCCGTTTGCATGCCGAGTCGCTTCTTTTACAACATATCGTCCTGCGGACTGATGCGTCAATGTCCCATCTGGCTTGGTCTAGCACACTTGACTATCCTCTAGGCCATACACTATCATTTGAGATTCAAGAAGCCCCTTACTTACACTGTAAAAGAGATGGTCCATCTCGTCGGCCCAGATTTTTTTCAAAAAAGAGCGCTACAATCATCGATCGTATCACTGTTGTTGTTAAAGCACTTGGGTTGTAGAAAGCAAAATGCAAAGTGAATATATTTAGGTCCTTAGTTCACAAACTCTGTTGCTACTCTAAGCCTACTGGATTCTTCGACTACACGTTTCTAATCGCTATATCGCGCATTACTCATGGGATAGCCGCACATGAGTAATCTACTCTACACACATGACTCATCAGATAGTCACTCATGAGTAATCCACGCTAGTGGTATTACTCATGGGATAGGCGCACACCTAACTAATCAGACCGTACATTCTTGTGGTTGCCGTTTGCATGCCGAGTCGCTTCTTTTACAACATATCGTCCTGCGGACTGATGCGTCAATGTCCCATCTGGCTTGGTCTAGCACACTTGACTATCCTCTAGGCCATACACTATCATTTGAGATTCAAGAAGCCCCTTACTTACACTGTAAAAGAGATGGTCCATCTCGTCGGCCCAGATTTTTTTCAAAAAAGAGCGCTACAATCATCGATCGTATCACTGTCACGTAGTAAAGAGATAGCGGCGACACAACACAAAACAAAACGCCTCGAGATTTATACTCAGATCGTTTGGGTAGAAATCGTCTGCTTTGTAGGTGAAAGCTGTCTAGTATCATAGACAGCCTTTTATCTATACAAAGCCAGAGCCGATCGACTGGTCGGTCGTTTAAAAGATATGCACGTAGATGAAAAGAAGCAGGAAGTGATAGAAGATGGAAGATAAGATGGAAAGGTATGGTATCTCCCGTAAGAAAATATGCTAACAAGGTATCGAAATGTCGGAAACGACCATACCTTTCAAAGATATTATCATGCTTTTTCTATCACCTCCTGGCTTCTTTGTGCCTAATCTGGTCGACGGCGACCGCCGTTGCATTATCGACAACTATCTTCAATGCTTATACTGCCACAGGCGTAGGTCAAAAAGCGGGCGATCTAGAAAGTAGTGCAGTCAGCCAGAACTTTGGTTGGGAGCGAAGGTACAGGGATGAAACATGTATCTTGAAGATCGGCAACTTCTATGGCCCCTTGCGGAGGCTATGAGTTATATCATCCACGTCATTTCCTACCTACTCGCAAGATTAGATGCATCAAGCCAGCTCAATAAAATAAGCTCATGCGACTAGAATCTGTGCTGACTAGTATCTGCGCTGACTCGGTTTACAAGTCCATGGACAGTAATTGTTGCATAGCCGAGCAGTATATTACGACAACGCTTGCAATGTCTTTGCAAGTGTTCAATGTGGCCGATCTAGTAAGGTAAACTCTGCAATGGTCAATAACCTAGCAAATTCCTTATTGTAATCAGGTTGCTCGATGGCGTAGATGATACTGGACATAAACTCCCAGAGTGAAGCTCTTTAGATACCAAAGCCTGGCTAGATTGTTTCAAACTTGAGAGCATTTCGCTCTACACTGAACGAAAAGATGTCGGCATCAGTGCTGTGTATTTGCCACACGTTTATGCTTTCTGACGGTGTCTCGATCGTCTGAAGCCAGCTGGCCTCCATTGAACGATTCAGCCAACTCGTTCCGATGACGAAGTCAGCTCGCCATTTTACATATGCCTGACAAATTGGTGACAGCAAGATATCATTTCTCCGATGACATTATAGCGTGACGTGGACGAGAAGTAGTTTGTCAATCTTCAACAGAAGGGGCTTGTGGACGCCAGCGCGTAGTGATTTCAACTCGCTGGCAAGGTAGTGTGAAAAGCCAGTAGAACTATTCGTTGCCTCATTATTTATCAAGCTTCAGCTACGCAGTCAGCATAGGTTGTGTACGACAGCCCCGCGGAAAAGGTGACAATTTGATGGTTATAGAAAGCTGAGCGTCCTCCAACTGTCAAGAAACGCTCGAGCAGGTGTATCTTGATAGTATCACGATGACTTCGAAGCGTATGAAAAATTTAGCTAATGGACAATGTACTCTGCATGTCATTTGTCGCACGTAGCAGCAGAAAGAGGTTTTCATGTCACCGCCGCAAGGCATCAGCTCAAGAGCTTTACCATAACGACACAGTCGTTCATCTCTGTCTATTATACTGGCTCTTCGATTTTGATTTCGTCACGATATAGATGTCACGTAGTAGTCCATCTTCCGGCTTTGGCCCATCGAGCACTACAACCATGGAGCCCACCCCGGAAAGAGTTTGCAGAGATTATGTGGGTCCTGCGCAGCACTAAGAAGTTGCTTGACCTGTCCTTCGATACTAAGGGCACTACCATTTGGATCTTCATAGCCCTCCAGCTTTTGTTTGACTCGAATTAATGCTCGAGCAGCTGCATCCGTGCTTCCAGGTTCCGCTTGTATCCCTTCTGCAGGCTGAGTGTTGTTTGTACTTCCAGGACCGATGACGGCATTGCTGCTGTTCAAGCGGCTCAAGCTTCGTGGGCGAATAGCCGATCTCTTTCCATTCTGTTCGCCACCCTCTTGAATTTTCAGTGCCTTGAGTGGCGAAAGCGTCCAGCGGTAGAGTGGGTCATGCACAAAAACCTCCAGAATCGTAACGACTGATGCACTCTTTTTGCGCAAAAGCTGCAGGGTAACCTCACAGCATCGCGAAAAGACACCGTCCACACCAGAAATTCCCATCCCGTCGACCATGTCTCGTGTGAGTCGAAAAGGAACAGTTTCTGGAGTATATAGAGCCATACCCTGATCGAATACGACACCAAAGTCGATATGCACGAGCTCCCCGGTCTCCTCATGGATCAGGATATTCTGCGAGTGACGGTCTCCAATACCAAGAATGTAGCCAACGATGGAAGTTACGGCTGTACTTCGTACATAAGCCAGTCGACGGTGGTACCATACAGCCGCATCCGGAAACTTCTCTAAGAAAAAATGGTGGAACACTGGAGTGAAATTCGCCTGGATTTCCAAAAAAGCTGGTAGTTTTTCCGGCGCATTCTTCAAATATTGACGACACTCAGCGTGCTTCCACTCGAAGGGGTGATACCGCTCGTGGGCTGACAATCTCTTTAATGTTTTGCTTACAAGATATGACCCCCATGGTATTGTCTTCTCCACCCATTCTAGCACGCCAGCAATAGGTGATAGCGGAACTACTCGGTATGTACGTAGACTTAATTTGCGTTTGCGAGACTCTTTTTCCTCCATCAAGAACTGATTCATTGTCTCGAACACTTGTTCAATAACAAGATCTTGCCGCGTATCATCTTGACCCTTTACCAGTTGTTTGTACCGCTTGCCATCTGAACCGTAGCAATAAATTATCTTTGGACGATGTATGCCGCTGTCTGTGATAGAGAATTGTGGCTCGAACGAATACATGCGAACGACATTCGAGTAATCCATATCAGCTTGCGGTGGGATGTAGGATGTTAGTACTGCCGGCATCACGACAGTATCTCCTCGCCGTGCACGAGCGCGAAGACACTGATCAAAGGGCGTTGCACTAGATCTTCCTGAGTTTGTTTCGAAAACCGGTACTTTCGAGAGAAGTATCTTTTTCTTCTGTCCATGATACTCGCTCGTGTCGAACAGCGCCAATTGAACGTATGCATTTGCCATGGAGTCAAGTGATTCAAGCAGTTCTCGTAGTTCTGTTTTCATCAACTCAGCCAGATACACTTTTGCACCTTCGGCTTTTGCGTCTCCGACATTAGCCCGAAACTGCAGAGCACCTTTGCCTTCCACGTCTCCACTATTCTTCAGTGCGACAAGTTGTATCAGCGTGTGATGTGGGTGTTCCAGGCTCAATTTTATGACAAGTTTACGAAGCGCCGTTTGAAAGGTGCTAGTATTCTCAGTAGAACTACTGATGCGTGAGATTATCTGGTAGGACAGAGGGACAAAGTTAAACGATGGGACAACCGCGATGATTTCTTCTATGACGACTCGATTGATATCAGCCTTGTGTTGATTGTTAAACCATAGCGAAAACATACGAAAAACCATGTCAAGCTCAGCCTGCGGTGATAAGCACAATCCCTTGCCGTAACTGCACAAAGCGCCAATTAGAAATTGATCCACCGATGCCTCCACTTTTGAGCGCTCGTTCATGTCATGAACAACTTCTTTGTTTAAAGCATGAATGTGAGCTCGATTCTCATTCTGCATACTCGGTTCCATTGTTTGTAACTCTCGGAGTTCTTCGTGTCGTGCCTGCATCACTTTTTTGCCTGCTAGCCACTCGCGCGACGTCACGCGAATACTAACTTGCTGGTACATCGCAGCCATAAACTCAGCGAGCGCAAAGTGTGCTTTTGCCGCATTTTGCGCCCTCCTCGAAACCGCATCAGCATCCATTGAGGTCATGATTCCGGTAGCTTTTTGAAAGTACTCTTCCAGAATTATCCGGGAGCTTTCAGAACGCTGAGATGCAATCCATTTGCCGGTAATGGTTAGCGCTCGAACAAGTAGTAACTGCAACGATGTAACTTCATCGGCAGGTAATGACAGGTCATTTAAATATGTGGACAACTCATTGCACACTTTTTTCCCTGTCCAAATTGCACTACGGAACTCCTGTTGCTTCCATAGCAATTTGCATTTTTGTATCTTCCACTGCATTTTCTCATTAATGCATAACAAGCCATTCTGATCGAGCTGCTCGAGCTTAAGCAAAGCTCTATAAGCCACTGCTGTGCGTCCTGCTTTTCTACTGAGCGACGCGAGATCAAGATATAACTTCATCAGCCCTTTCTTGTTATCTGGTGCCTCCGACACTTGTAGCAAAACCTCTTCAAGTGCTAGCAGACTTTCAGCTTTGTCAAAATCCGTTTTAATCTGATGGCGTCGCTGTTGCCACCGTCCAAGCAAATTATCTGCAGCTGGCGATGCCCGTAAATCGACAGTTGCGTCATCAAACGAAGACGAAAACATGTTTACTCCTGTCCGATTGACTGTAGGAAACTTAACATTGGTTGCGACACAATCGGATTTTCTTATGTAATTCGCCATCTCCTCAATTTCTCGAATAGCCTGAAAGTAAACCATAGCTGAATATGAGTCGTTCGAACTCTCAAATGATTGCAGGCTCAACTGAATTGATAGTAGAATCTGCTTCTTCGCCGTTGACATCACGTTCTGTAAGTGTGTAAAATTCCTGTGAGCTATTGCTCGTAAGCCTTCAAAAATCATTTTCTGGTGCGAAAAATTGTTCGCCAGCAGCTCCTTGTTTTCATACTCCCAAGTTTCGCCTGAGGTTGATAGACCAGGAAGAATCGCTTCCCATTGCATGTTCTTCCAGGCAAGTCCATATTTATGCTGTAAGGCATGCAAAGAAGAGAGTCCCGATCTCGATTCCATAGATCGTCCACTCCCTTGCATTGATTGCAAATAACCCTCGAGTAGGTTATTGTACCCCAGTGATTGTAATGACATCAACATTCCCTCCACGAGTCGAAACGGGTTACTATTACTTATTTTTCCGCCCCCGTCACCCACGTTTGAGTTTGAAAATTGTAGCAAGACATCATAAAGTGGAAGAGCCTTTGCGTGCTGGCCCTCACGATTAAATTGCACCAATTGTGATTTCAACGTTCGGCCGTCGTTGACTCCGTATATCCCATCATCGTCGTTGTCAAAGCCGTATGCATCAATAAGAATATCGCGAAGTGTGTTTACCATTTCGTCATTATTCAGTGAGGACAATGAGGTAATCCTTCCACCGTGCTCTTTTTCTAACCACATCTCAACATATTGCATGGCTGAATACGGCATTTTCACGCGAACAGCTGCTTTTGCAACGGCAAGAAAGTTTATCACATCAACCATGCAACCATACGCCAGCTCATTTCCATAAGTTTTGTTCGGTCGTGTTAATTTTGGTCCGGGTCCTCTTCCTGTCGATAGTTTTCGCTTATCCCTGCCATTATTTTCCACAAATTGAGCTTTCTCCGTCTCACGGAGAAAATTGATACTATGAATGACGAGCTGAATAACTTGGGGTGGTTGGGAATCGTTTGTTTCTAGGCTCCGAATTTGTTCGTCTGATATTCCATCCAGGGTACTCGACTTGTAGCTCTTTGCTCCGGTCAAGACAAAGCTAATGCCTTCGTTGATAGCTTTCGTGATTCCCGCAAAATTGTCAGTATCAGTAGACTCCGTTGCGTTTGCTTGATCGTCCAGTCTCCTGTGGTGCTCGAATTTTCTTAGAATGCTTTCAAGTGCGTAAGGAAAAAGGAAAACCGCCATGTCTACTCGCAACGAAGCCATTGTGGAGCATGCCTTCAGCACCTGGTCTGGGGATTTTCTAGTCAAAAATGATGTCAACGAACAAACCCACGCCTCAAAGCCTATTTTTCCTGCGGATGTCCACAGCTCCGCACAGCGTTGTAGTGTAGTCTTCGATTGATGGCCCTGGTATCCGTTACTGTTCAGGAAAGCTGAAGACCAATTAGACGGCGATGATCCTATAAAAGGATCCAAAAATGACTTGAGCTCTCCGTCCTTGCATCGTGCTAAAGCGCGTACACCCTCGTCGAGATTAAGAACGCTTTTTAATGTCCTCAGCGTTTGCTCGAGTACTGATGGTGCAACTTTTCCAGCCTTTTTTCCTTCGAAAACGATAGAACTCAGGTATGCCAGTACACTTTCGTGCATCGTAAGCGAAAAAGTTGTCGTAACCTCTCGGAGGGCACCCCGATGAAAACGTAGTCGATACAAGCGGGACAATTCCTCTTCTTGCTCTGCTAGACCCAGTTGGTAATTGCTCGCATCTAAAGCCCCTAGTTCACCCAACGCATTCGCTAGACTCGTCATGTCTCTATCTTGGTTGAGATCGTTGTTACTGAATGTGCCCGAGGAACTTAGATACAACAACGTGTTAGCTAGTTTTCCGTACAGCTTTCTCGTTGACTTACTGGAATCCCACATACTTCCGATACTTGTGGTCAGGGCAGACAACCGAACATCTGCGAACGACTGTGTTGAAGCGTGTATGTCCGATTTATTCCCTATAGTGCTCGCCCTCAAAAATCCGCTGAAGGGTAGTGGGTTGTAGAACTTGGTTCCACGCACATGCTCTTTCTGGATAAACATATCAATATGTTGCTTCGCTTGGTCGCGTCGGTCTACAGTGCACTGTGGTAAAGAATTGAGTCTAAGACCTTTCTCCCCTTGGCTTCCTTTAGACGAAACCGTCATTTGATTTCCAAGTATATGAGCGTTGAGCTTGTCAAGACTTCCACATATACCATTCGGTATCATATCGATGTCGAGAGCATACTTTCCAAGGCCGCTGCTTAAGCCATTACACACAGCAAAAATTACCCTCTCTAGTTCTGCTTGATCGTCCGCATTCAAACTTAAACTCTTCTGCGGTCTGGTGTCGAGTGACATCACATTTGAAGCTCTCTGTGGCATTTCATTACAGCTCAACAGAATATCACTGATCTCCTGCACCACAAATCCAAGATATTTTCCAAACATATCCGCCTTTTTCAAAAAGCGCTCACATAATTCACGAACAAGAAGTGACAACATACTTCCAATTCGATGTCGGTTCCTGGTGGCTAGGTGTTTAGTTGCCTGGAAGCATATCAAAAGCAATAGATGCTGCAACACAGGGTTTTCAGCTACTGCATCACCAAATTCAACAACAAAAATTTTGAAACATTCCACTGCACACACAGCTCTTGGATAGAACTGTTCTGCTCTCAGCAAAAGCACATACCACTCGCTGAGCAGATCAGCCAGGTTTATCGATTTCCAATCGAAGTCGAAGTATTTTTCTTTCATTGCTTTCAGTGCATTTTTCCACAACTCACTCCGGTCAAATCGCTTGTTGACATTCCCCTCTAATATTCTCCACACTGTAAATCGAGCCATCTTGCTTACGATATGCCCAAGATGCGATAACGAAAGAGGGCTTACATGTTCCCGTTTCTTTGCTACCTCAAGCATCCGATTTGCCAATTCGTTTAGCACGGGGTCAGGATTCACCAACAAGAGAAACGAAAACGCAAACAGATCGGTAGTCAGCTGCTCGCCGATCCCCGACACAACATTACCATGAATGCTGTCGTTGTCGTTGTCACCGGAAAAGAAAAAGGAAGTCAGTTCGCCAACGAATTCAAATCGGTTCTCTTCGATAGCTGGTCCCTTTTCAAAAATGAAGCAGTGAAGTACACCAATCGAAAGAATTACATCGAGATTTTTCGATAAGATTGATCTCCTGGTAGTCGAATTAACCTCTTCGCCAAGAAGCGCCTGTAGCGGGAACTGCTGCAGCAAATATCTTCCATTTGGTAGAGGAGTTGCCAGGTCGCTCTTTATCCACCCCATACTAGTTTCGTCATCATTCTGTGCAGGTTGATGACTTACAGCAATGAATTCGTGCCAAAGACTACAAAAGTGATCGTCTAACAAATCAGAGACGTCAGCGTATCCGTAAAACATCGCCACTGCATTGAGCCAGATCGAAATTAGAGAAGGAGTGCCTGCAGCATACAGCGATGCAGTCATAGATGCCATCTCAACGCATGCTGTGAGAACTGCAGGAAGTGCCATCTGAGATGAGCAGGCACTCACATACAAGCTTAGCAACACAGATAAACACCAGTCTATAGACAATAGAGGGTCGGCAACTCCTTGCCCCGTTAGCTGATGCTGAGCTTTTGTCTCATCCTCGACATTTGCGCTTGACTTCACGGCAGGTACATCTCGCAAAAATCCCATTGTCTTGAAAAAGTGCCGAAATATGCTTTTGCCACCTGCAGGATACATATAATATATGGATTGAAGGCCACGTGACGCTATGATACGGACACTCACGTCGCAGTCTGTTAGCCCAGTTACGCATGCTTCTTCAAACTTACTAAATTCGTGCGTGTTGAGACGGAAAAATACCTCAAGGCACTGCAACTCAGCTCTTCGGGCCAAACGTAAGTTTGATTTAGACCTCAGACCAGCCATGGTTTCCAGATGTTTCTTAGCACATGCCACTAAAAGCGTAGGAGGTAATTCATTGTGCTCATACGTCCGTTTTTCGTACACCAAACCAGCAAGAATGAGAGCTGATAATACTTGAGAAAGAAAGATCGACGCACGGCACTCCCATCCTGTGTTGTAGATAGGGTGCGATTCTCGCACATACCTTTCTCTGCAGCATAATCAATTAGCTTGACAAACACCTCCAGGCTGTCGTGACCAGTTACACCACACACGAGAACAGCTATTGCCAGCACGAAATCGGGGTCAAACTGGAGACCCTCGCAAAAGTTCTTTACAGCAGAAAGACCACTCTCTTTTTTGAGCAGCAAGATGAGACGAAAGCACCACAAACTAGCACTTTTCTGCAAAACACGGCTAGCAGGACGATCGCGAGAGACCTCATCTTCTTCACTAAATGCTCCCAAACCAGTAATCAAAATTCATATAGTAAGTAGAGCAAGACAAACCGTAAATGTACTGCTATTGGACTCACCCATCATCCATAACATCCCATTCCTTTTGTATCGGCTGGCTTTGTAGTTGTGATTGTGACGGTTGGCTAAAACTTGACGCCAACCTAGATAGGCCGCGAATCGACCTGAAACCAGCAGGCGGGTGCATTTTTTGTCCCGGGGAACTCGTTGGTGTGCCACCAAGATTACCCAGCGACACTTCTAACGAGCTGACAATAGCCCTGATTGCTGGGCGTAGGTCTGGCGGAGTTCGTAATTCGACAGGATCTGCTGAAGGATGACGACATCTTTCCAGTGTGTCTCGGCCTTGTGAAATCAGGATAATCGTGTCGAGCCTGCGCAGTATGTGTACGATGTTCTCTGACATGGATTGACTCTGCTGGGCTTGTTCAATAGCACTTGGCTTCAGATAGTTTGCAATAATCTCAAGGAACTGTTTTAGCAAGGGAAGCACACGAATACAGCTCTCGTTGGAGCTACCTGAACGGTTTACATGTTCATCACCATATAGTGCCGCAAGAATAAGTCCAACCTGCCCGTCCAGTAAACATAGCAAACGCACCATTAGTTTACAGTAACTTATAGTATCGATCATGCCGATGAGAAATCCTTACATCCATCGAGTTTGCCAGCACGCGCAACCCTTTGATCGGGCTACTTTCATTGAAAGGCAAATTACTTACAACTTCCGACAACAATTCGGAAAACAAGTTAACGACTTCTTTTTGCAGGGCTTGCACTCTTTTCTTCGAGATAGATTGAGTACAAGCATAACTGTCTTTCACACAAAAGTCAGCACTGAAAAACACATTTTGACGTGGGATCAGCTTTCTCAATAAACCAGCTGGAACAGCAAGTCGCTCGAAATAGTCGACTTTTCTCTCACATGAGCTAACTCCCTCGTACCAACTAGATCCATCCGTTTCGACGATCTTACCGATAGTTGCTTGAATTAATGGCGAAAAAGCTGATGGTTTTACCCCAGTCGACGATGGAAAAGCCATGGAAAGGTACTCCAATCCAGCTTCAAGCATGCAAAAGGCCACTCCAAAACCATTAAGCTCTTCAGTGGTCACCCAGCTTTCGCATTCTTTCTCACTGTTTGCTGAAAACTTGCGAAGCAATTCAGGAGTAAAAGCGCATTCTTCAGGGGTATCCATCATTGAAGTTGCTTGACCAAAGAATGATCGAATAACAGATGCATATACCATCGGCGACACTTCTGTTTGCCAATCAACCTTTGTAGATAAACACGCTGCGTTTCCCATTGAGGGTGCAATGTCCCTACGAAATATTTGGGCGCGAAGATGGTCAAATACTGATTGAAGCAATCTTGACTGCACCGACGCATCGCTAGCGTCAAGAATATCGCCAGTGTTTAGTATACCTTGCGGTTCCGCCGAGGTCGTGTCGGCTCCGACTGGTAGTTGAACATGACGAAGTAGTGACCGCAACGTGCATATAGAAGCCATCGATGACCTCGCGTAGGGTCGCATGGTATCCCCTCGAGAAACTTGGGTATCTACTGCTGGTTGCCGAAAAGCAGGCAAATTCCACAGATCCGTGCTGCTTGCTTCAATAGTATCTATCGAGACGAGTCCAAACGAAATACAGCAATTTAACAGCGTAAGTACAGCGTCACCTGCTTGGCCTCTCATCAGTCCAATTCCTTCTGTGACGCGGACGTAGGGGAGCTCTGGTCGAAGCAAGTTTCGCCATACAGTGGACCAGTGTTGGCTTAAGTGATTGCTGCACTCGTCGCGAAACCGTGCCGAAAGCGAAGCCATCTGAATTAAAATCTGCAGCGTCAAAGATTGCCATTTGCCCAGTTCTTTGACCACCATCATATCTCCGAGCTTCCACATCACCATCATTATATCGCCGATGCGGTTGGACATATAGTAGTCACCTTGACGCCTTAAAATGGACAGGAGTAGCAGTAGCCACAAACAAGAATCATTGGCTTGCTGTGTATCAGTCCGTCTGGACTGAGATGCGCGGGAATCTCTCGATAGATACGTCACCGACGATGACTGTCGCTGCGATGCAGGCGAGGCCGAGCTTGCAGTCACGTACTGGGTGTCTGTCCGCGGGCTGTCAAAGACACGCTCGATGACAACCTCCCACGCTAATTCGGTTGACGTAAACCTTGGACGCTTACTACCAACGTCAGATTGATCGAATCCAGGTTCGTCTTGTGTCAGCTCCCCAGTGATGCTCTGCATCCGATCCGATACCAAGTAATCGTGGTGGAAGATGATGTCTGCAGTACAAGACAAGCGTCGAATCTCTTGGTCGTCGATCCCCAGTGCATTTCCTAGTCTTCGTTCTTTAGCCGAGGAGAAATGCATTGTCACCAGATTAATTTCTTCTAAACTCAACGCAACGTGAATCAGCTTCTTCATCGTACAAAGTAATTTTTTAGGAGTCAAATAGCATACATCGAGTTCAGCAGTCACATTATGCTGATAGAGCTCGAGAAACTGCATTATAAACTCGGCCGGAGCACTTTTAAGTCCATTTTTTCTCTCTTTGTTCGACTTGCAAATAAACTCCAGTACAGTCACTCCTGGTTTGAGTATGAATGGCGCAATCGATCCAAAATGCATCCGCATCAAGTCCGTCAACGTTTCCATCAACGTCGAGGCAACGACTACCAGTAAATCGACATTATTTTCCACTTTTGCAGCTTCAAACCACATTTCAATTTCTAAAATTACCCTGGGCAGCACAGGTATCAAATCAAACGGACAGTTCTTGAGCAAAAACCTGATCACTCGCACACGAGTCGTAGCAGTTGTCTCGACTCCAATCATACGTCCAGCATTGTAACTTGGCGCAATGCTTCCTAGCGCCATCTCTGTCATATTTTCCCAGTCTTTATAATCCAGTACAGCACAATATACTCGGTACTGAGCAAGCACTTCCACTGTAAGCCACGCCTCTTTATCCACGAGTGTCTCAAAGTTACGATCGAGCTTCAGGGACGTCTGACGATTAATTACGGCTGCTGAAAAGGCAAATAACTGGCGGATATAGTCGCGGCCATTTGGATCTCAAATGCAGCAACGGACCGTCCGCCGTCACGTGCGCAGTCTCCAGCTCCGTACGCAGGTAATGCCAGTACCGAAGCTGTGGTATCTTGGAGCGTGAGGTCGTTTTGCTCTTTTTCTTGGTTGTCACGTGGAGATATGAGCGCATTTCTTCTTTGATCACATGCAGCAAACAGTTGAGGAGATAACCCCAGCTCCGCCAGCGATGAACCAGTTGACGACTGTAATCGTCGCTTAGAAATGACTGCAATTTGTCAATGGCAATGGATACGCCCTTGACATTCTTGACACCGCGTAGGTCACTGCATAGCGCGGAGAATTGCCGCCACTGGTCATCGCGAGATGTCATGACGAGCTCAGTGCGGAATGCAGTTGGAGAGAGGAAATCTGACATACTGAAGATAGTAGATGCTGTTAAAGTGTCATTGATGATACAAGGTCTTTTTAGCATAAATCGGTCGCTAAAAAATTTCATTTAACCTTATAAATAAGAGTGTATTTGTCAGATGTATAGATAAATCGCGAACGCGTTATAGTCAAAAGTGGTCAAATTAGCGAGCCGTAATCATTATTATAGAGCTCTATCAATTGGGTACTCTATCACAACTGAATACCGGTTTCTGACAATTTTCTATCTTGTGACCTGCAACAAATAAAAAAAAGGGGCTGGCCCTGAGGCAATCAGAGGAAAAGCATTTATATCGATAAGAGTGCTAGCGATTACACAATCGGGTCATCACTTATGAAAGCGCAATATTCACACGGTCATATATCGCTCGACGTGGTCACAGTATCATGTGAGACAAAGAACATGAAACAATAGTTGGCCTTGCGTTAATATTTGTCGGCATTCCAAACCTTGGTTACAAAACTGCTTCCAGTGATAAAGTAAAACACTCTTGGCATCATCGACTTTGTTTACAGAGCTACACAGCTTAGCCAATTGACTAACGATCGCGTGATTATTTTGATTTCATTGACTTGTCTACCCATAATGAGCCCGAGATTACGGCCAAGTAATGTCGTCGAAGTTAAATGCCCTAACGGATCCCGCAACTGTTCCACGAACTCTGGCCAGGTATTTGAAGATGACGACTTGCCTGATTTCAAGGAGGACATCCTTGTATCGACAAGACCGTCCAAATGCGTGCTATGGAGAACAACAAAGCTCAGGTCGGCTAAACAACTCGATCAATATCTATGAAAAGTTCCGCCATCTTGAACAAAAGCTAGAGAACTACCGTTAGACAGACAACGCATTCCGCGTCGGATGTAGATCTACATTGTCTACGACCGATAAAGTGACAATTTCTTATGATCGCACTTCATCCAGGGTAAATACTTCCCGATAAGTGTTTGGAATCTCAAATAACTTCGGATCCAGCGGTGGGTTCAAAGAGATTTTTTTGAAAAGTGTACGCGGCATGGATCGTGAACATCATCGGCAGCTCAAACTTGACAGGGTATCCTGGTGGAAGTTTCTGAAGTCTATCAACTGTCAGTTGCCACAAAACATTACACAATGAAATGGAATGGTGCACGTACCATTTGAAAAAACTCCTCGAGGTTCTTGACATGGTCGCCCGTCGTAGAAACGAACTTGATGACAGGGAGGAAGTCCTGAAGTTGAAACGGGAAGCTCTCGGACATAATTACCTTAGCCTCAATGTCCTTGCGCACATGGCGCGTTGCTGGCACGAGTGTCAAACTCCGGAATGTGTTTTTCATACCGAACGCTGTGTCAGCTCCAGTATCTCTTAACGACGACGCTGTTGAAGGTTGTGGATGGTGTTGTTTTTTGTCCTCAAATATTTTGGAGAACGACGACTTCTTCCTCTTAGACTCACAATATTTGTCATTTTGAGATTCTTTGGATTCACTCGAAACTTCACCGAGCCTAAAGTAGTCCACAAACGCTGTTGTAGTAGTCATGGGATTCGGAATATGATTCAGCTGACGAAATATTTCGCACTTTTGCTCGTCGGTGAGTCTGGAGGAGCCATTGCTCATTTTCTTTGTATCTGCCTGCGACATCGACGAGTTTGACGATACCACGTCACCCTGGGTGGTAAGGTCTGCAGCGATGGGAGTATCTACAGGGGGTTCACCAACTGCTGATCGAACGTGTGCTACGCTGTACGTAATTTTAATCCCGTTCCGGTCAAAAACGAAGCCCGCTTGCGTGTTCTGCCACATCAATACGAAACTGCCATTGTGCTCGATCTCAAATGCTCCAACGATCTTCATGTTCTTGACACCGTCTGTATGGCACACAGGCAGTTGCTTGTCATCGTGAAAGTACGTGGCCTCAAAGCAATAGTCGCTGCTCTTGGATAGAAATTCCCACTGAATTGTGTCACCTGCAATCACGTCCAAATGCATCTCAATTTTGCGCCCTTTTTCAAGCTGTAGCGTTTGCGGGAGTTTCTCATCGGTGGAATTGCCTTTAAATCTATGCTTGCGCTTCACTTTGACATTTTTCTGATCCTTCCCGTGAGGCACACAAGACTGGAGATGTTTCACGAACTGCTGCACTTCCTCAAAAGGCTTGTCGTTATTAGTTGGAAGATGTTTCAGTTTACGGTCCGGATTTACAACAGGGCGAAACTGCGCTTCTATGGAAAAATTCTGCATCTTGTACGTCGTGCCTGCCCACGGACACCTTCTCTGTCGACTACGACTCGATTTCTTTTCTGCATCTTGGTCGATTCTTCTCTCATCCGTCTTTGCTTCTGCTTTTACCGTTTTTTGCTTCACAAACTCCAAATTGGTAGCATTTAAACTAGACGATGACATGGCTGTCGTCAACGACACATGCAGAGCCAAGTCCATATTCCCCACCGACGAGTTGTGCATGGCTTCCAGTACATCATAAAATTTCTTGTTCTCGTGGTCCATTACCACTGCGTGTCCCGCTCTCTCTCTATTCTCTCGTCCCAAATATATATGAGACATGGTTCCTTTCTTCCACTTGACCCCATCCAGCCCTTTCAACGTCGAGTCGATGCGTAGCTGAGTCCCTCGCTTCCAAATCCGGATAGTGTCGGACGGCAACACACTGGAGACTATAGGCACCCACGATTGCGCCTCAATGAAAAGTTCCGCTTCAAAATCTGGCAGTTTCTCCAGTGCCTGTACGAACGTCTCTTGACTTGATTCCAGCGATTGGATCAACTGTTTCTCGCCTCGAAGGTACATTTGAGCTAACAGGAACTCGTCATCACATAGAGCTGCGTCATGTGCACAGCTCCATCCCTCACAATTTCTAGACGTTACATTGGCGTCTCGATCAAGTAGAAGTTTCACTATTGCGCGTTGATTGGGCTGCACGATGCGTACGGCCAAGGCAAAGCAGAATTCCCACGATTGTCCTTGAGTTCCAAGAGATTTTTCAGATTTTCCGCTTGCACTGGATCCCGAGATTCTTCACCTTCGGGACACACGGAGTTGAGAAGGTCACGTATGCGGTTAATATCGCCTTCCCATACAGCCACGTGTAGAGGTGGAGGAGGGCAGGGCAGTGATATGTCAGAACTCGAAGAGTTCATTTTGTAAGTCGAAAATATATTTACGATTAACAAATTTGGAAACTGACATTTTTTCTATCAATTTTCAAGGTTACGCTGTGGGCATCATAAAGCTTGAGTCTCCAGCCTTTACTTAGTGAACGCAATAGCATCACATTATGAGTAATCAATATCACGGCGGAGATGCAATACACATAACAATTATTGTGGGTTGTGTGCCTTCCTAACTACTGTCCATGCTCCACATATTTACCAATTTGCTGCTCGAATGATTGGCTGGTTATCGGCTCATACCGTAATTGGTAGACCCTGATAGGGGCCGTTTGCTGTAGAATTTTTTAAATAAGTGCCAACACCCGATGTCCATAAGACTTCACGCAAGTGGCTGGGACTCCAACTCTTGGCATTGCCAAACGCGAGTATCAATCGGTGTCTCGATGCAAGTAGCTTCGCCTCGGCAGCGCGCTCATGCAGACGGAGAACGACGATGTTGACCTTGTTATCTCGTACAGCCCCGGTTTTTGAAAGCGGCGGAACTGAATTACCTTGTGCGTGACAAGGAGCTGTTCTCAAACTAAGTATGCTCTTGTCAAGTTTCGAGTGCATTTGTTGGGCACCGAGCCATTTTTGGTTTACACGGAGTACAAATCACTGCGAACTGCGATAAACTCACCGCACGCATCGCCTAGTATAAAGAAATGGCTTACATGCTTCTACGAATTTAATTTTATAGTCGAATACAAGTCGGGTAAGTCGAATGTTTTGACTGTCGCGGGGACCGCCCAGACCAGACTTCGATACACGACACCAGGAAAGTGTGTCTCGGACTAAGGCGCAAGTTGAGTCGTCAACGCTGGCAGCCATGAGGGTCTCCCAATATTTTGTCCTCCGCGATAAAGGCTAGCTACAGTCAGGACGAACAGTGTCGTCTGCTGTTATATAACTTCAGTGTACTTTTCTCTCGCACCTGAGAGCGAAGCAAAGTCGCTTTAGTTAGCAAAGGTCAATTGTGGTATCAGTTGCAGCTTTGTGATCCGTTGCGATTAAATGTACAAATCTCAAACTTAAAATTATTGACAAGCTCCATGATGTGAACATCTGGGCAGTGAGCAGGCATTCTTACGAGTGTCAGACGACTTTTGATCACCGCACCTATATACGTCCTGCAAAGAGTGCGCATTTCTCGACGATGCAGGTTTAATATGCTTATCATTGAATCACTGCCTAACCTCTGATTGCTGGAAGTCTGTCAACTTGGACTGCATGTTTGGTACACTGCCTGACCATAAAGGGAACTGGTCTTGTTGTGTATTTGCTGACAGACTGAGCAAGATGGTGCAGTCTGCACCATGTAGCACCAAGATCTCAGGGAAGGAGGCAGCTCTCTTGTCACTAACAAAAAAAGGGTTTTGTTCCATCTTCAGCGCCAAGTAGCGCGATGATTCTTAAGGAGAGCGCTGCTTCAGAAAGAACAGTCGTTTCAACTCATGAGAATGGCGAAATTATTCGCTCACATTAACGGTGCTAGACCACATGCCTGAGGCAAGGCAAATTATCGATGAGAGTCTGGCTTAGAGCATTCTACCTTACCTTGTCCGTTTCGTTTGCACGCTGTCATGAAGGCGGCTATGGGTCTGGTGACATACCGACTATTTCACCACCATCCGAGTATTCAAAAGCGAATAGGTCTATTGCACCGCTTCTAGTGCGTGCAATCATTATAGCTCGTGCTATTGCGACGTCTCCAGCAAATGGAAGTCGCAGGAAAGACGGCTGGTCGATCTTCACTATTCCAGTCGTGTTTATTCCCAATGAAACAGCAGAACAATATACGAAGAAGCATTCCTGCTACGTAGATCGATAGCCAGACTTATCGGGCTAATTGTGTCGGGGCTATCGTATTGCGCACGGTAGCGACACTCAAGGAACGAAGAAAGAAATTGTCATTCGTCAAGCTCGCACTAATAGTATCCACGCCATGTATAGGTGAGGCAACGTTTTATGTAAATAGACTGTACCACCTTGAACGCCTATCTCGTTTGTGAGTCTTCGTAGGGGACTTTTCACTACACTTAGAGCGAGGATTACAGTTTGTTCAGGGGGTGGAGAGACTTACCCCCTATACTATAATTTTAGGCCTTTAAAGACCCAGGTAGTGTACTTGCATCGTCAGCAGGAGACAATGGTACCATAGTTAAGAAACCACATATCCGAATCAGCCTAACGCGATCTGTAGACGGGCACTTCTACGAAGTTGCCTCGTGCTACTAGCACACACCTTCAGCACAAGCGAGGAAGCGGTTAGACCGTCTTACCTTCGCGTGCGAGGGTGTTTAGGAGGTTGGTCGACTGCTTAAGCAGTCGTACCACCAGTTGCCTCTCGCTTAAGCGAGAGTGCAGCGAACTTCTAAAACAAGAAGGCACCGACGTCACGTAAAAGCTTTTCAGCTTCTCGTGCGTGATCCTTCGGTGTTTATGAAAATTCAAGACTTATTTATATTTAATAGGATTTAACTAAATATAAATCTAACTACCGATTGGTTAATATGTAATGATGGGTGCCATCTCTATAGATGCGCATCCCAACGTGCGAGTTTAAATATATTCAAGCTCGCTCAATGACGTAACTGACTGACGTCATTTGATGACGCCTAGTCCCAGCTGGGCGTCATCCCCATTAATGTGAATACACCTAGTGTATATCACATACGCAAGGGTGTGACACATGGTGTGTCTCACCTGAGCGACACTTACGTACCTTTTAAGACCTGCCCGTTATGTATCGCATACTTAACGGGTACGTGTAACGTTGAGCCCGTTACACCATCCCCCCTTTTACATCTTGTAAAACATCGCCTAGGAGACATAGAGAATGCGAGCCGTTATATAACGCGCCACTTCGTCTACTCTATTCTTATGACAACGAAACGTGGTAAGGCTGATGGGTCGACTGCAAGGGCGCCCATGCAGTCTAACACTAAGCGCACGCGCCGCGATTATTCGCAGCCGTCGCAAAGTGATTCAGGCACTGAGGTGAATCTTCCATCTCACGATAATGTGGATGAAGATCCATCTCTCATTGTAGATTAAAATGAGACTACACCACTGCCATCGCCCCAAAGTGGCGATGAGCATAGTGCATTGATGGGACATATGTCTCCATCATTTGAGGCAACCGTCCTTGAGGAAGCATCTATGCTTCCTACAAGCCAAGGTAAAACCCCGTCGTCTGCGCCTACGAGCGCATCGACTAAGACTGAGCGCGCTACTTCGAAAGGAGTAGTCGCGACTCAGTCAGGTGTAACTTCTCAAGCTGATGTCTTGGCAATCCATAATGGAGAATCAGACTCAGGTAAGTGTGAGCTGAAAGCTCCACCAAGTACACCTTCGGCCTTACTAGCACGCCGTCGCGAGGGCGGCTACGTGAGTGGTGGCTTGCCACCAATGCCACCTCCATCTGAGTGGATGAACTCGGATAGGTCTAGCGCAGCGCTTTTGCAGCGTGCCACTATAGACGCTCATAAATTCTATAGCGTCTTTCCTTTGTGGAAAAAGCAGGGCAAAGCACTTGGTCGTGCTTTCCCAATTCCAGTCGTGCTGCGTTCTAACGAAACAGCCGACGACTATGAAGCCGAACTTCGGCGCCGTGTTACCTTGCATGAAGATGCAACGAAACAGCGGTCGCAGCAAATCAGCTTCGCCATGAAGCGTGCGCATGAAATCTTGGGTGGTAAGCGACCCCCAATTGATTCTCGCCACGCTTCTTCTGCTAGTCCATCCGGACTTAGAAGAAAGACTCCAGCTGGTGCTGCTTCACATAATCAGCCACCAGCCCAGGCACGTCGACGCGTAAAGCTTCCACAGGCTCCCATGAGTCAAAGCTCGTTGGGTGACCCTTCCACTGGACAAGGATCTGAAGCTTTCGCTTCACAAACCGGTGGGCCAACAGCCTTCCAGCAAGGAAGCGCGTATTCCCTTCCGTGTCCACCAACACAGGTGGCACCCGATAGGAGTGGCGATTACGCCCACCTACTCGCGGCTGCCTACCCTGCTGCTGTTCAGTCGCAGGCTGAGTCCGCTACGCTGAAGAGGCAGGTGGCAGATCTCGAGAGTAACGTCTCGCGACTGACCTCGGATCTGCGCGATGTGAGGACGAGGGACCGTCAGGGGTATGACCGCCTGAAGCCTCGGTTGGATCTTTTATAGCGACTGGTGATGAGAGACACTCGTCAAACGTGGAGTCCTCCTCGATCGCCGAATCCTCTAGCGCCTCGTTCGTATACGGGGAGCCTATCGGCTTCCTCGTCGCCTGATTGGCCGTGACGATCGACTCACAATCGACTTCACCATCGGTCTCGTTAGAATGATGCGGATATGTGATCTCTTGTGGATCCAAATGCCGAAAACGACCCACGTAAAATACAGGGTGCGTCTTCATATACGGTGGGAGAGTGAGCCTATAATATAGGTCTTCAACTTCTTCAACTACTGTAAAGGACCCAATGAATCGGTTCAATAGCTTAGTAGTACCACCAGGTAGTACAGAGATTGCATGTTTAGGTAGGGTAGCAATACTTAACAGCACTTTGTCCCCAACACTAAAGTGTTCATGGTTTTTGCGACCATGCTGGTCTGCATATTGTTTTTGCTTGTCCTGTGCGCTTGCCATCGCGTCACGGACTTTACGTGTGATGGCTAATCGCTCATCCACAAAGCGCTGAGCTTCGCTCACGCTTTTAGCATCCAGCACGCCTATGACACCCCCAAGAGGTCTGTCATAAGTCGACGCTGTTGATAACACTATAGTGTCATCGTCAAGGAGCACTGGTATTTCTTGACGTGTCTCCTCTGTGACACCTATAGGTGTCGTTACCACTGCATAATTAGCAGTGTCACTAGTGCAACCTTGGCCCTCTTTGGCATTCGCACCGAGCGAAGTGAGGGGACCTCCCCCACTAAGACTCGGGCTGCGTACAAACGAGACTGGCGTTCGAGGATGACGCAGTCCGTTAATGTAAAAC